TTTTGGTGTAGCAAGTTGTAGATCTTTTTTTATCAGACACCTCCCATGCTACTCCACCGTGTCATGCTGTATCTAAGAATGTGACGAGAAACGCTTTGTGTTGTTGTTGTTGTTTTTTTGGACGTGTTGATTGTGCGAGGCCTTACATTAGCATGCCTTTGATTTGTTCTTCTCTTCGCACAGCTGGAGCCAGAGCCGAGACAGAGGTAACGACTGCCGGGGGTGCAGGGCGGACAGCTGCTGCTGACAGGGAGCGTGGCTAGAGACCAGGGGCAGCCCGCGGCTGGCACTGGCCTGGCGGAAGTCACGGGCACTGTGCTGACGACGAAGCGGGCCCCACAGGGAGGCCGGTGGGGCCGCTTGGTGCAGTGTGTGGTGCTTCAGATAAACAGCTGGCGCGCACTCCGAGTCGCTGCTCGCTTCTGGTGTTATCTCAAGAATGGCACATCTGTTTCGCACCGGGTCACACAAAACACACAGGCTGGGGAGCTCCAGTCATAGCTACCAACTAAACAAACAGCTCCAGAAACACACAGCCACCTTCAGAGAGACAAACCATTTAGCCCATTGCATTGTGCAGTTTTCTATCACTGCCAATCCAGGAAATCATAAAAAGATTAAAGCACTATATGCCCCTCAGTTTTCAGGATAATGATGCGATTCATCATTTCTGCCTGACAGCAATGTAGATCACGCATTTTTATTTAGCATTTGCGAGTGCAAGCCAGTATTCAGAAATGTTTATGATGTCCATTTGTAATCTGAGCTGTGAGTGGCTTTAGCTCTGAGCTAATGACATGTTAATTCTTAAACAAAGAGCAGCAGTACATGTAAATGCATGATTGAAAACAGTAATTCTATAGATATGACACATTAAAAGTTAAATATCACAAGGCAGGTTGTTACATTACCTGGGAAATGGCCTTTATGTAATATAATTAAATATTCCTGAAATAGTAGAATCTAAGCTAATTAAAGACAATAACACTTACGAGCTAAAAAGTTTAAAAGAGAAGATCCTTGAACCCATTTCAACTTGCATGTGTTTAAAGCAAAGTTGAAAAAGAAGCACAATAGCCCTGCCCCCCCTACACACACTTTTTTCTTCTTTAGAAAACACCAGCATCAGTTTCAACAAATGACAGTCTGAGCACCATCACAAAAGCCTTTGATTTGTTTAAGCTTTAGGAAAGTTTTCTCCTCTTTAGCGATTTCGTTTTTTGCCGGTAAAGAGTTACCAGAGCTCATGCAGCAGAATGGTCTTGAAATGAGAGCTAACCAGCCTGCACAGAATAGGACCATCTCTCCACTGCCTTCCCTCTCTCCAGCCATTGTTCAGAAGATATTGTCCTCGGTGCATTCATGCATCGTTCTAGGCTATCAGCCCACTTCAATTCAGACAGCCCTTTATGTGAGCTTTATACAGGCCCTTCTCAAAGCAGTTATACCGCACAAAGGCAGTCTACTGGGAATTTCCTGCAAACCCTATTTGGCTGCATCCCTCATATAAATAATACAATAAAACGCACACAGGTCCTGATAGACTCTATCCCATGCATTTCAAACTCCTCTACAGTTGGACATTTGGCATCCCATGGACAGAGAAGAGTATAAATATTCAATTAATTACCACCCTAAATCTATTATTTAAAATTCCTGGGAAGCACATCTTATAATGAATCATTCACTGTTGTTTTTTTTTTATTCTTGCTTCTTTCCAGTTTAGATTTTTTGCTTATTTTTGTAGAATGTACACTCTGGATGAAGAACATTCGTCCATTTCTGTCCCAGCCTCTAAAAGAATGTGATTTTTAGATTCCCTTTCTTATAAATCTTGGTTATATATCAAAGGGAACTTACTCTGAGATAACTAACAGCGTCAGGCTATTCAAAGCCTTTCATAAAAGGGTTATTTCAATATGAATGCCACAAGTCAGGACCTCCAACAGGGCATATAAAAAGTGAACAGCAAACTGACATAAAATGTCAGCACTGGGTTTACTGAAACTATAATACTGCACAAATGATAGGCTATCATTTGGGAAATGAGTTTTGCATCAATATGAAATGAAATAATGTCAATTTAATTACAAACCCAAACAATACAAGTATGAAAGCTTACAAATATGAATGGCTGGTACTGCTATTAGCAAAGTTTGTTCTGCAGTTAATTCCTACAAAAACACTTTAACATTAAAAAAACACACAAGGCATAACACATCAAGGGCATGTTCAGGCTGGAGCATTTTCACTGGACTACTAAAAAGGCAGACTGAATACAAACTCTGAAAACACAAATAGACTAATGAATTAAAATAAAAGCAAAGGAGTTCAGAATAATTTAGCAAAGGATATATTTTTATCTAGAAAGGTTTCGATATTCTCTATTCAGAATGAAAGTTAAATAAAACAACTGATAACCTTCTATAGTTCCCAAATTCCTTAGAAGCAGTATTTTCAATTAGTTTTTTATATTTAACATGCACGTACTTCAGTATTTATGGATCCTCATGAGAAACTCATTACTTATAACTGAACCAAATTCACAAAGTTATAAAAAATGACAAAATAAAACATTTTTTTTACAAGAAGTCTGTTTTCTAGCTGGTTCATTTAAATTTTATTGAACAGACATGACACAGCCAAATTAATTATGCTGCTTTACAATCATCAGGTAAATATTGAGGGTTGATCAACACATAGTTTTGATTGTTACTTTTAAAAAAATAAAACTTTATTTTCAAGACACTTGTAAGAGATTACCCTTTAAAATAAAAAGCAACCTGAGAGAAAATAATTTTGAAAAATAATCAGTTACGGTAATGTATGTAGTGTTTGTACAGTAACTGCAAAAAGAGCTACATTACTTCTGAAACATTTGCCCCCAAGTTCTTATTAATTTTACAAAGTGGAAACTTTCATAATTCTGTCAACAGCATCTACTGTAAAAGTCACAAGCTAATAGTGTGTGGTCAAAGCTGGAAGCATTAAAAGGCATACATCTGGGACTCATGCTTTGCACCAGGTTGCAGATGCTACTCTGCGGGATTCTGTGCCATTGCTCTTGAAAAAGCTGGACAACCAAGTGCCTGTTTACAGGTCTCTTAGCCAGAACGCATCACAGCCCATTACACAGATGCTCAGTGGGCCTGAATTCTGTCTACTCTTATCTCCAAGAAATCTGAATCTTGTCTTTTCAGGATAAGCCCACAGAAGAAACTGCAAATGAGGTCCCAGGAAATGTATTGATCTGTGTGTATACAGGTTGATGTCAATGATGAGTTCTGAACCTTAAGGACTAGACAGCCCTGGCTAGATCTTCACACTTAGATCTTTCTATCAATCTTCATGAGGGGTTGTCATCTGCCGTCTCCCAGATTGTGGTTGTGACAGCTCTCACTCTGCATAAAGAACGTCTTGAGGCCTGAGCCTCAAATAACAGCTTATAGTGGAGCAAAGAAGTACAGTGATGGGCTCTGGCTCCTCCACAGTCCTGTACTGGGCGAGTCAGACAAGCAGTCAGAGGAAGACAACTGGCCCCACAGCTACTGAAGAAGGAGGCAGAGGCTTCCTGGACTCCATATCAGCTGACTGACAACCGAGGGCACATCCTAAGCTAAGAGTGTCCTGGGACTTTAGGAACGTCTCCTTTGTGTCAGAGCACTTCTCACACACTGGAGAACCAAGTGAAATGAGCCCCAGTGAGTATGGCCAGCACCCCGAGGTGTCACAAAACCCAGAGTGTATACACATAAAAGATTTATTTTAGATACAAAAGATTTGATAAATAAAAAAATATATAAGGTACTTAAATCAATAAATCAATAAACCAACTGAATGCTATTGCTATTACTATTACTATGCTGTTACTAGCAGCCACTTTAAACCAAATGTAATTCTTTAATTCAGGGATATCCAATCCTGATGCCACAGGGCTAGTCTGTCTTTAACTATTCATTCCAAACCGCTGATTTCAAGTGGACTGAACTGGACACCCCTGGTTTAAATTCAAGTCGCATTGAGTATACTTTTGTCTTAACATACAGTAAGAAAAAGTCTTTTTTTTACTATATGGTAAAGTGGATACAACTGTCAAGAGTTGGCATGCTTATGCTAAGCTAAAAAAGGACAACAAAACTGCCCTAGAATCTGCATGTGCTGTTCACTCTTGTCTTATTGCTGTATTTTATGCAGCTGTGGTCACAATGTACCCTGAACTCTTCTTGCTAAAAACCCATAATCACTTTAATTAGAGCTTCTCACTGAAGCTTTTCCCTGTAAATCCTTGATTCTTACATAAACACAGTAGGAGTCCCCCTGCATAGCTTTGGTATCACATTAGACTGGGGGAGGGGTGCAGGGTCTTCATCAATACTGAAAGGGTTTCAAGGCCAGCAAATCTCTTTGTGCACCTGCCAGCAATTTAAAATTTAATCTTCACCTTAATGCAGTCATTTGAACTTCACTCAGTGCCATTATTACCGGACTCTAACACCAAAATTATTTGCAGCTGTGTGCTGAAATCTTCTGCCAGTCTTTTCACTAAAGTCAATTTATGCAAATATACCACCATTATCTACTCAATTAAAATCCTCCCCCTCCCCTTCAATAACAACTAATCTTGTAGCAAAGGGTCTGTGACCAAAATGTAATGGGCTTTCATCACTATGTTTTCCTACAATGTAATCATCATTGTATCATTATATCATTGTGTGACAAGTTTTTCAACACAGAATTTCTATACAGCACAAACCAGAGGATTATGAATTAAACTTGTACTGCGTCCATATACTGTACAGTACCCTGTTGGTTCTCTACATAATGAAAAACACTTCACATTAGATTACAGTACATCATTGAGGTCTAGATGGAAGTTCAGCTATTACACATTAACAATGAACATTATATGAACTTTGTGCTCCTGTGTTTTGTACAGAAATGAGTATGATTCATATTGATATACTGTTATTCAGAGAGCAGATTTTCAGTGAAAGTTGTACCTGTTTCCCTGTTCTGGGAAGAGCTGCCTTGTCAGTGTCGACTGTTGGACAAGCCTTTGTCATGGCTGTTGGTCTTTCCACACACTCTGATGCTGTCTCCTGTTTCAGGCTGCAGTTTAACATGAGGGACTGTGAGGATAGAAGACACTGGGAAAACACAACAAAGACAAGAAACTTTCAGTGCGGGACTGCATTTCCACTCACCATTCTGTACATACGTCCTCTTCACATTTATACAGCTATTTTCACGTTTACTGAATACTAATTACCTGGGGGAAAACAATAGAGATAAATAGATGATTCCTTCTATTATCAAACCGTTGGGTTAAACAGCTAAATTGCCCTTTTGTGCTCCTACTGATGTTTATTACTAAATAATTTCTTTTTTGATCTCTCAAGGATCAACACAGCTATGAGCATGCTTCCACACCAGAAAGAAAATCGTCATCATTAAACCTAACGAGCATTTAGTATCTTAGAGTTCCTCTTTCACGGAATAATACATCTCTATCCAACTATACCATTGCAAACGACAATGAGAGTAAAGAGTAATTGACAGAACTTTGAATATTGGATGTTATGGGTACTGATCTCACAAATTAGATGTAATACTTTCCTAATCAAGGTCTCCATGCATGCACACGCGATATTCATATTTCATGAAGGTACTTGAGGACGCAGAAGGAGAGTGCTCTTAAGGTCAGTCAAGGTCAGGCACAGCATGCAGTCAATGGAAAAAAAAAACCTCTTAATACCAGGTCCTGTTATCAGTGAATTTTAACAACCCCCACACACTTGAAGAGCAACATTAAATACTGCTTCTTCGTCTACTCCACACACTAATCTGTATGCTGCTTCAGATAATTCCAGGAAACAAGACTCCCATACTTGCTGTATAACTAACTGGGAACTCAAAGTGAAAAAAAAAGTAAGAGGAATATAGCAAGGGTTGAAAGCCTTTTTATAAAGTATAGTGGTTTTGCTTCTGTGTTTTCACCTTTCCCCTAATGTTGTGTGAATATGATTAGTTTAATGTAAGACTATTCTTTGTAGGAATACCGTATTTTTATGAATTCCCTGTCTCACAGAAAGAGAAGAAGTGTCACAAGCGCTTCTGAGATACAGCCCTGAAAACAAGTCTCTGCAAGAGCCTGCTGCTGCTCATCTGCCAGTGTGTGCAGCAGAATCGCCTCCTTCACTGTGTGTGCCAGCTTTGCTCTGGCCACTGGAGGAAAGGTCTGCTAGCCCAGCAGGTCCCAGAAGTGACCTATGGGGACAAGACTAGGCAACGATCTGCTCAAGCAGATAATCCACTTTTCATCCACAAATGAAGACTGAGGTGAAAGGACAAAACAAATACACATTTTCCTTTGTGAGAAATCTAGCAGTACACACTCAGCTTAACCCTTGTCTTTCTTTCTTACTTGATGCCAGAAATACAAACAAACCAGAAACCTGACTGGTCTAAATACTGTATTTATCCTTTAAGCCATTCACATCCTAAAGTAAAGGACGTCCCACTGACCCATACTGTACGTTTCACTGGTGATAACCCATATATTAAGCATTTATTACAGATAGAGACTGAGAACAATTTACACTCTGTCCTGGGATTACCTAGTAATGTGCTACAACATACTAATTACTATAAGAATCACTGCAAAATCCCAACATCTTCCCAGCATGTCCAGAGCTAAAGAATTTCAAGAATTATATCATACTTATTCTTGAAGCAGGCACCGGAGTCTGTTGACTTTATTAATATACGATAAAATTGATAAATTAATAAATTATTCTGACTTCATAAACATCAGATGTCAATCCTGGACTTTAGAGTATATGATACTTTTTTAAGACTGATTTTTCGTTGCAGCACCTTGACGTAGGGCATAGATATACTCCTGTGATATACTGTACTTGAGTGTTTTAATTTGTTACTAGCTTAATACCATATATGAGAAACAAATACCTAAATAAAGGCTCATCCAGTTACAGCTCCACAGCACAAAGGGCAGCTTTAAGAAACCTGAACTGCATGCAATGCTCATCTGTAAGTAATAAAGTGTGCATGTTGCTCCTCTACTGTATCAGAACCTGTTGCATTGACTGCTGCTGTCACCCAGTCTTTAACCAGTGCCATGTCAGGAGACAAGGCTAGTAAAGGTGAATGCTGAAGGTAATACAGGTGCCTACGAATGTCAGTAGTGGCCTTGAGAAACTTAGAAATAAAATCTCGCTACAACTTTTCCCAGAACAAGCATTAGCATGTTCAGGGGCTCAAATACGTTTTAAATCAGGTATGTAGGAACTGAAGAGCAGGTTAGTATGGAAGTCTTTTATTTCCTCTGCTGAATCTGAGGGGGCACTGACTGGGGGTTAGGTGGAGAAAGGCTTTTGGTGAGTTATAGGGTGCGCAAATATGCTCTTTGTACATTTTGTTAGTGTGCATTTCATAAAGACAAGAACACGTGCACACCCATTTATTGGAAATATTCAATACCCAACAACTACCCAATTATTTGACCATAATGCCTAAAGGTAAAAAAGTTTATAATGACAGTAAGATTCCATAAAATCTCTGTCCATCCCAATTAGCAATGACAAATTTGCACAGAGCATACTGGAGATTCATAAATCGAATCTTTGATTAATCTATTCGTGAATTCATATTAATTTTACCACGGAAGTCAGTTGAGAACAAATTCTATTTTACAATGACAACCTGGAGATCCATTTTTGCTGCAGAGCATTTTATAAGAGCAATCTGAATGAAGTACCGTGCTCAAGGTTATCGCAATATCCAATCCGGAATTCGAACCCCTGACTCCTGCTGGTTTGACTGTCACCTTTCCTGTAGCCTTTCTTTCAATTAATCATGTTAGAATATGACCATCTCTGATTTTCCTTTAAAAAATACTTTATCATTGATGAAATGTACAACCTCACATTCATAAAATAAAGATGTCCTACTGTTGCAGACAAAAAAATAGTTTAAGTACAAGTATGGCATTTACAGGGACACATTTACTAAACAAGAAAACTAAAGACATTATTTTTTCATTTAAAGACATCACTATAAAATCTAATGAAACCTCTAGGAAAAATTAATATTGTTTAGCGATTGGATGACTTATGTTGTTAATTGAGAAAGTACTAACCACAAAAAAAGTTCTCAAGTATACATTTGGCTTTCAATAAAAGTGTGTATTTCATAAAAACACAAACGTTCACTTTTTTTTTCAAAGTAAGCTCAGGACTGTCCCAAAATTCTAGTATAATATTCATACAGTTGCTGTTCATTTCTGGTGTCTGAAAAAACAACACTTCAATGAACCTCTTCCTTCCAAATAAATTCTCTATTTTACAGTTTAAATACACAAAATAAACAATTACAAGTATTGAAAGGTGATGAGTGTTTTTACCTCAACTTCAGAGGAACCAGTGAGTGTGGTTACCATTGAAAAGGACAGTTTGTCCAGTTACCACGTTCCTCTCTTTATTAGTTACTAGCTTATTTTTGTTTGAAGCTAAGGACATTAGCATTCCTTGAGAGCAATGAACACCACTGTGCTTGGTAATTAGATGGTTAAGTGTAACAAATTTTGTTTCATGTCTAGTTATAATTATCTTCTTGCACCAGAAACTGTGCTCCTCCAGATCTAAATTTTACTCCAGGCATTTAGTGCAGCCTTCATTTAAAAATAAAATTATTTCATCTTTATTCTTCCCTTCAAAAGATTTTAGCTTCTGTCAGTATTTAGCAGTATGCAAAGATGTGTTTCTGCCAATGAATATCGCCTTATGGTTATGCTTGTGCAAATAACCTGCTGTGAGCTGATAAAAGGATTAATACAGGAAAAATTCTTAATCTGTGAAATTACAAATTAAATTCTCATATTAAAATTACCACCCCTGAGGTATTTTCTTTCCTGCTTTTAATTCCCCTCTGGTGTTCTGCATACATTGTGCCTGTTAATGACTCAGACAAGCTTCTCTCTGTTGGCAGTCTGCTGCAGTGTGATAATGCAGAGGCATTTACTCCACTGACAGATCTGGATTTAACCACTGACTGATAAAACTAAGTGGCAACTGTGTAATAAGCCTATATTAGCAGAGAACTGCGGGTACAGTATTCAAAATGCACTCGGCCCATGGGTTTACCGAAATCCTGGCCAGACGTAATGATGGCGTGTGATAGGATAGAGATGTCACTACTGCTGGATTGTTTCTTGCATCCTTTTCAGGAAAGTAAGACTCAGAGCCACACCGCTGGTGATGAGCGCTCATTTCTGATTATATTAACAGCACTGTCACATTTCTGTTTTACAGTGTGCAGTTCATTTTATTTCTCCAAAAGAACTGCTCTGCCAAAGGATTTTCAATGTTCATGTTACATCACAGTTTAAATACTGACACTTCTTTATCTGCTGTTGCTGTTGTTTTCCATATTTACTGATGAGATTATTTTGCTATTAAAACGTGCCCAGCTCTTCCCCATTTGTGCAATACGTATAAGTCTTTAAAATGGACTTAATCACAAACCATCTTTTACAATTCTAAATTGCTTTGAACTTTTGAGTTCATAAAATGACAACACCTATTAAATCACTCCTGTTGCATATTCCATTGTGGCATCTTTTGTCACCAGGAACCAATATAATTTGTCACAGCAGGATTTTAGACTATATGACAGCACATCAAAGATATCCATGAATAATTGCAGTCAAAGTATCAGTTCTGGAATTGAGATTTGTGTCAACTATTACAAATCTAACCAATTACCTTGTAATATAAAACAAGGGACCCAGGTTTTCTGCTTGCTCAAATCCAGGGGGATTAAGCAGATTTTATAAACGAACATTACATTCCATTAGAGATCCTGAATGTGGCAGAAGGGATTTTTTTTCTATTTTTGTTTTGGTATTGTACAGCAATTGGTTTACTTTAACTGGGAAATTAGTAAAAATTTTAAGCAATTATGTTTTTCGAACATCACATTGAGCAAAAAGTCTAGTAATAGGGTCTTCGATGCAGTATGTTAATGAATTCAAAGCAATTCAATTCCTGAAATCTTTTCTGAAATTAAAACAATTGGAATATATTATAATAAATTAAAATGACATTATGAACACTTGACAACAATACGTTTTTTACAACCTTTTTTAGCCTAAAATGTGCACCAATGACATTCATTCATTAGAAATGAAGTCCAAAAAATGGATTTGGATGTCAGATGCATTGGTGTTTTTGTTCCCATTTTGTTGTACTGCACTGAAACAATGTTTGTTATGCTATCATATTCTTATTTTAAATATAGGCAGCTGAGAGAAATGTAAAAGAAGAAATATTCCATCTATTCATCAGAGTCAAGCAGTTACTCACGGGTTTTAAGCAAATTTCACATTCCACACAAAGTTATTACAGCTGCTTTAGCTCTAGGCAGAGCGTTCATACATTTGGTGAAATTTTATTTTATTTTGTAAATTGAAATTCTGCATCAGCAGACACCGAGATCTTGAAATTAAACAAGCTGCACAGTCCAGGCTCCAGTGGCAGCTGTTAATAAGAGTCTGTCTTTTCACTTGCTGAACAAAACCCTGGTTAACATAAATTTCCATTTCATTCCCCTCTCATGTAATGAAGAAAAAAGGCACTGACTGTCAGGTAACTCCCAGAGCCGAGGAGGCAGATCACTGAAGTATTCATGGTTCAGGGCTGCCTGTGCTGACAGCCTGTTCTTTGGGAAGCACTGGAGAAATCTGGAGGCTAGCTCCTCTGCGTGATTCACATAACCCAGTCTGAAAGAAAAGATGGACAAGACGCAACATTTTAGCAGGGCTCACATCAGGTGCCACAGTGAGCCTAGATCAAAACACAGCCATCAATTACTACGCCGAACAAGACAGACACATTAGATTGAAGGATAGGCTTTGTTTCTGCCACATATAGCACCAGAAAATGTGACAAAATAATAACAACTCACCCCCACCACCAAACTCGGGTAATTTCTTTTTTTTTTGTCCCGCTGGAACTCGTTAATTCCAAGCACACTTCAGGCAACAGTGATGAAAAATATGGCGAAATACTGCAGATTCTGCAGTTCATAACCCTTGCAGCTCCAGATGCCAAGCGACCCCGCCAAACACAATCCTTCCCAAGACCAACCTCGTTGTTGGTTGCTATTTTGGTGACATTACAGAAATGTAAGCTTTCAGTTTTCCCCACAACTCTAAATGAAACAGCAAGTACAGATGTGATGGAGACAGACACAGTCCTAAGGGCGGCACGTCTAAGGCAGAAAGATGAGACAACACACTTGCCTTTGAAAGACCAACTGGGGGTTGGTTTCCCCCCATCAGACCTGCCTTACCCCTGAGCAGGTCTGCAGGCTGGCCGGCTGTGCGGCCGCGCTGCAGTGAAGTGTCAGAGCAGTTTTCTGAAGAAGCCACATGAGGGAGTGCAATTCCACCTTGCCAGCAGATCAGGACCTTTGGAGGATTAGCTGATGACAGAAATTCGATTCTCGCTCTGCCTAATTTCTTCCTAAGTGTCATGTTATTATTACAGTTCATCTTATAGTTCTGATTAGATGCCATTATAAGACACCTTGGACAAGGATTTCTCCTAAGCAAACAAATTCTAATGGTGGTATTATTTTCCATTGAGACAGGAAGTGGCAAAGTCCCTTGAAATTCATGTTCTGTCCCTCTTCATTTGTTATTCCATTGCACTACGCTTTGCCGATTTTCAAAAGACAAAATTTAGAGAACATTTTGTGGCTCTGTGGCTCAGGATCTGTGCTTGTGGCTGGATGGTTGCCGGTTCAAATCCCGCGGCCGGCAGAGGAATCCTACTCCGTTGGGCCCCTGAGCAAGGCCCTTAACCCTAACTGCTCCAGGGGCGCCGTACAATGGCAGACCCTGCGCTCTGACCCCAAGCTTCTCTCCCTGTCTGTGTGTCTCATGGAGAGCAAGCTGGGGTATGCGAAAAGACAAATTCCTAATGCAAGAAACTGTATAGGGCTAATAAAGAAACATTATCATTAAACATTATCATTATTAGTATGGCTATCCTGTTTTGGGAAAATGGGTGAATTCAAACATTCCTACAGAACACAAAACTAAATGTATATTTCTAGCACATGGTGATTCAGATGTTTGTTGCCCAGATACAGTGGCATACAACACAATACTTCAATTCAGAAAAGGTAATTTTATATTTCAATTATATAAACTGCAGGCTGTTGAATAACATGTCAAAGCGGTGCTATATAATATTTCTATTGGGAGGTGCATATCTGATTTGTTTTTTAAATATTTTTCTAAACATGTGCTAGGATACAGAACAGATGTTCTGTTAATGAAAAGAGCTATGAGCTCAGTTAAGCCCCTTGCAATGCCCAGATGAATGCCAGACTGAAGCTCCACATGGCCACTTTGGCCCAGCAGTAAGACTCTTGCTGTCTAGTGGTCACCTCACAGCAAACAAACTGAGGAGCACACACAGAGAGAAAGCCTCATACAGTAAGGGTATAACCAAGTCCACTCCAGTACCATAACATATGTATTACAGTATATACAGTAACATGTCTGGTTAAAAGTCATAAGTAACCCTCTCTTACAGTACATGATAAATTAACTACTAGTGGTATTGAATAGGCTTAAAGAATTCAGTGCACCTCTGTACTATGCACTTTTTACTGGGCTACCGTGTAATTATATGCCTGTGTATAGACTATTCTGTACTACCCGTTGAACGTTATTGTGCTTTGTTGTGCTGTCTCTATTTATTAATATTCCATGTTTTGAAACGTACGGCGCACAATGTGTGAAAGTGTTGAGTGTTGTACTTTGCACGTCCCGAGAGAACAGTGCCAATTTACACGTACATAAGGCAAATAAACTCCTCTGTCTCAAGTTAATTAAAATAACACTGAATAATTAAAACAAACAACAGCAACCACAAACCCATAGTAATCATTCAAATAAACAACATGAATCCCTCCTTTGTGTCCATCAGATGCCTGCACTTTCTCTCTGCCTCCTTGATCAGCATGCCCCACTGTAATGAAAAGGGCAATAAAACTGTCGGTGAGCCTGTAAAGTTGTCTCCAGCCTGTCATTCCCCACGAAGCCAACATAACCAGGAGCCTTCATTACAATACAGAAGCAAGACCAGGCTGAGATGTGGATGCTGGGCAGTGGGTAGTTGTGCAGGGGCAGGGAGAGGCTCACTCACTCGCTAGATTCATCTCACGGTCCTGATCTGCTGTACAGCTAATTTGAAAATTGCACTTAACAACCTTTGGCTCAGCTTCATCCTGCTCTGCTCTTCTTCCATAGAAGATCCCGAATTGCGAATAAATGAATTTGTGAAATGTTGCAGATGTTGAGACCCTACTGCACTCTTGAGTATGGATATCTTAGAGTCCTGTGTTCTAATCACAAGAACACCCAGAGCTCCCATCTACCTTTTTCAATGCGTGATACATTTTATGACATGAGCTGTGCATTATTCTAGAACTTTGAGGAAACATTCTATCTAAAAATGATTTATATCTCCATGGAGTTCTTAAATATGCACAATAAAAGACATTAACTTTGAGAAATGACAGGAGGGGAAAGCACTGGATTCTTGTGGCACGGTTGAGATTCTTTACATATTTTGTGCAATTTGACATTTTCCAGGCTCCAGAGGGCTGGGAGGTGAGTTACACCTCGAGGATGGGTGCTACCACCTAAGTAGAAAGATCATTATCAGGCCTTACATATTTATAGTGAACATATCAGGAAGTAGCTGTGCTGAACATACCTTGAGGCAGCCCTGTGGCTGTCGGCTTTGGGGCGCTGGTTCCAGTGACATTAAAGTGACATGAATTTTTTGTATTTCCCTTCCGAAGGCTTGATAGAAACACCTGTCAATCAATGCTTTCAAAATAAGCACGTTGACTAAATGTTGAGCTTAATTCTCCAAGACATGAAGCCTGTTTGCCTTTTTATTGCTTTCCCACACTGCCTACATAAACATCCACATATCAACATAAACACCTACAGTATGTCTTTTTCATAAAGATCGTCTTCAGGATGTTTCACATCTTATTTTTATGGTTTATGTTTCTGCTACCTGCATGTAACACTCCACACTTGTCTACATTAAATGTGGTGTGCCAGGATTTTACCCATGCTTAAATTCTGTCGAAATATTTTTTTAATTGACTCATCATCTGTGACCTTTACTGGTAGTAACTGCAATCTATCATCTATTCATTTTTTAACCACTTCTTCCAATATTCATATTTTAAGTTTATATCACAGAAATTCATCCATCCATTTTCTACCCGCTTTATTCAATTCAGGGTCATGGTGGAGCCAGAGCCCATCCTGGCAAGGAACAGGTGCCAGGCGAAATTCACCCTGGATGGGATGGCGGTCCATAACAGGGCAGAAACACAGAGATGCACACACTCACACCCAGCACTGTGAGGCAGTAATGCTAACCACTGTGCCAATCAACTGCGATCTAAATACTATAGATATAAATTAATAAGTGTTCCTGATACAGATCCTGATACAGTATCATCGCAGGTGAGGTCATTCATCTCTTATCTGTACTCTCTCTTAGCTATGCTTTTTTAGGGGTTTTAATTGTGGCATTGACTTGTAATCGATTTATCTCCCCATCTGGATGATTATTTAATTGATTAATCTACCCATTTGCTCTGTTACATTAAGTTATTAACCTCATTATTTGCTGGTTCTTCTTATTACTTTGAAGTTTCGTTGCTGATATACTGTGCAAATGTGTTGCTCCAACCAGAGCTGCTGGAAACGTCCTGAGCTGTCCAATGAAAATAAGGTTGACAGGATGGGAACACTAAACTATTTCACGTTTACTTTACACACGAACATTCAGAGGTTCTATCCAGTGTTATACTCACATTTAAACATATTGTCATAGCGTGCAGGTGCAAGGAAACCTCATGAGAGAATCATATAACTAAAGCGTTTAGGCAACTGTTTTAAAAACATGAAATATTTAAAAAGGCAACCGTACTAAAACTTTGCCAGGACAGGCTTAACTCCCTCACAGTACTACCTCGAAAGAAAACAATGTTTTGAAGTTGTCTTCTTTCACCACCCATTTCTTTCATAGTTTTAAAATGACGCAATGACTTCCTCCCTCTTCTGGAACCATATTTAAGTTAAGTAGAATGTCACCTTCCTACTGCCATTGTCTTTCAAGCTCTGATACCTTCTGTATTGTGTTGTCATGCTGTGTTTTTGTGATATTGTGTAAGTCGGGACTTGCTCAAAAGCCTTCAGCATGGACCAGCTTGCAGTGCTGTATCTGTGAAGCTATTTTACTTTGTACTTTTATTTAATCACTATTTTTATTTGGAATTTACAGAAAAAAACTTGAAAGAAATACTCACAGGTCTCTTCAGGTTTCTTTAGTATTGTGAACTTTTCATTTCCAACGTTTAGCAAAGAAAGTGCAACTTGCTAAGAAAACTAAATATAAGGAGGACTGTTATTACCTGGCCTCTTTTATTAATAAGAAAGGAAAACAGAAGAATCACAATGAAGATGTTTTTTGTCTTTCCTGAGCAATATTCTGTGCATGACAAGGTCAGCATTCCTGCCTCATCCTGGATTGAGGTAATAATCACAGAGTCATAGTCACTGAGCATGACGATGTGAGTAATGTTCACAGTAGAACATAACCATCACAGACAGTCTCATACTGCCTACTTTCTGGTTGGGTTACTATAAAGAAAACATCATAAAGTCAAGACAAA